GAGCAAGCCAGTAGACCAAACGATGTTTGAGGAAGCGAAGTTTATTAGGACAGTATGACATGTGTGGTGATAAATGTATCAACATAATAGTGAGAATGAAGTAAGGATAATCATCCAAGTCCGGGAAGAAACATCCCCGCCTCTTGTCTGCTTTGGGAGGTGACGCATAGTCAGCAACGGAGATCAAAGGTCCGATATCCCAGACGGTCATGGTAACATAGAGGCTAATTTGAAAATAGCTATAAACTTTACTTGAATATATCAAGTTTCAAAAATCGACACCTGACTTAGGCTAGCACGAGTGTGAGTTGTCACGCTTTACTATGCATCCTGGAATAAATAATCGCTGCGCGCTCCAAATCCTGGCTTTTTATGGTAGTTTTAAAACCCTTAAAATTGAATGAAATGTCCGATAATGGTTAAGAATTCAAATACAGTGACCGGGAAGACTGTCGAATGTAGTTACTCCTGACAGGAATATTTTTGAAATGCCCCTGGACGCGAATGACAAGAAGACCGGGTGTGTATCCAGCAAAAGTGGTCGAAGATTACAGGATCCAGGGTATTTTTGTAATGCATAAGACGTCTTGAGTTTTTTTTAGTATCTGTATTATCCGTTAAATTCGCTTTCCCAACTCCTTCACCGATGGTAAACTAGGTTCTGTAATAGGAATTACTAGAAAGTGCACTTCACTGTCAACCATTCATGCAACAACATTTTTCGTATTCTTGGGCACCGAAGTGAAAAAGATTGTCGTACTAAGCGGATGGAGAAAATTGAATAGACTGATTATGTGAACTCTTAATAGAACTCAGTTGGTATTAGTCTGGGCAACTGTCAGGCGGAGTTGACTGTACAAGTGTCCATGGGACATCTAAAGCACGCAGTTCCGTTTAAGAAATGTTCATTCACGACAAGCACAGCTATAAAGTCGGCTATCAGGAAGTATGACGCGTCCCTAGTTTGCATGAAAATTCTTCGGATGTTAACTGGACATAAGGAGAGGATGTTAGGGTGGTGAAACGAACCATATCTTTATCGGATAACAGAAGACTGATCAGTTTTTCAAATGTGATCATATTAAATTGTACTTGAGATGTTTGATTGTAGTGTCGCAGTCATCTCGCTGGAGGAGGCCAAATAGTGATTCTACGCAAATAAGGCAATACAGAGAAAGTGCTCTCTAACGCTGGACTGAAATAACGGGCAATAACTATTAGCCAAAATAATAAAGCCGGGAATCGTCTACGGTCATCACGCCTAAATGCTGCCGATTACTGTTGATCCCTTGGTATTGTGCACGAGATAATTTTCGCGGATTTATTAGCAATACCGTCGCATTTGCTTACTCAGGCCTGCGTACAGGAGGGCCATAGATAATTCAATTCAGAACAGAGAGATTTCTCACAATTAGCTTGGCAGCTAGACTCTTTATAAAGGAGGATCTTCGGATCCTGACAAATATATGCTCGATAAGTTGCGGAGCGTTCGGCGGCCCATCTCCAAGGGCGGACTGAACATTAGGGAGATCGGAGTTGTATGGACAATCGGACCGACAGTAGTGTATCCGGGTGATACCAGTAGCCATAAACGGTACAACTCAGCCGTCAATAGCTTAAAGAGATGGTCCAACATAATTTATTTTCAGAAAAGGGAGAAAAGCTGGAGGATGGTCCGTTCTGATAGCTTCTAATTTCTGATCAGTCTATGTACAGATAATCTATGTAAACAATTATAAGGGTTCACATAACCTCTGTATTAAGCTATATTTGGATGAGCCTTACAGAATAGTCAGGTCTTGTTGCACTTTGCTAAAAACCGGACTAAGACCGTGAGTGATGTAGCTAACAAGTGAATTCTTTCTTCCGGTTATATTCAGAAAGCCGTGAATGAAAAACAGGAACTAGAATGTTCGGCAAGGGACACTGAAAGGGCCACTGCCGTTAAGATAATACTGAAAGGTTATGAAAAAAAGTTGTAATTGTGTCGTCTATTTTGTGCGCATCAATTTTTTTTGCTGCTGGATATCAACTCATATTTTTCGAATAGAGGCAAAGGTTCGCATCCCAGGTTCATATTTTTCGAACCAGAGCAACCAAAAAATTATTTTACCTTCTCTGCCAGAATTGCAGTGTACTAAAACTTAACTAAGACTATTTTTACCTATTAATTTTCATGTTTTTTGATGACCTACTGGTCTTCAGTGTGTTATTTTTCTCTGTTTGCTGTAGGTTGTTCGTCAACATATTTATCTGCCTATATACCAGGAGTGGCTCATTAGGATCTCCGTTTGCATTTATGGTGAGGTATGCGACAGCATTTTCGCGGATTATTCTGCATTACACGCGGATATCTGTGAAGCTGCGATCAGAAATGTTCTTTGAAAACGAGAGACAATTAATATCGAATTTGTCTTTGAATATCTAAGCTGATCACCCATTAGGTCGAATGATATACAGTGTTTGCACTTAAGTGTTTAGTTTAAGAATGTGGAATGTTCCATTATTAAGTGGACTATATTGTACAAAGAGAAAACAGTTCTAGTGTTGGGAATCAACACTATTAGACTGTGAATGGTCGGTTAAGATGTTGCAAAATAGATTAGCTGGGTCAGAATACGACGGCCCCTTCCGTTCATTCCACTATCATAATAATGCCGGTTATTATTTAAGATATGCTACCAGCATGCGAACTCGCATATCGCTGAATGATCTATTCAGTAATTGTTACGACCAGCGCCTGGTACTTGTTATTATCACAAGCTATGAGCTAGCCCAGCAGTTGCCCCGAACGCCAGCACGAGAAAACAAGGGAAGTTAATCGACCGGGAGGAGAAGTATGTTCACACAGGAAACGTCAATGCAATAAAGTACAAGTCAAGCAAGTCGCTCTTGCAAAAGGCTGCGGGATATTTATTCAGTCTGTTCCATGAGCAGACAGCAACGACAGGGAAAAAAATTGGCTATGACGAAAAATTGATAGCCACGAGGCGCTCTCATGACAGCGGTGTGGAGTTGCACTCGGGCACCTTTCTGTAAGATGAGTAATCGTGGTAAAGTTCACATTCCCAAGAGTAACGCAACCAATAATTTCCATTTTCATATGCGGCCAGAGGCTGCGAACACCGAATGGCCTTCAGGTAGCTTTGGAAGTAGATATACCTCGGTAGGAACCTACAGTAGGTGCACTATCTCATGAAATTCAACGATTTTTACAAGTAACTCCC